AGTTCCTTAGCTCCAAAGGCTGTCACTAAGATGATGTTTCTAAACATACCAAAGACGATGCTTCTAAAATTCGATCGGAACAAGCTATCGATACAGTCGATTCGGTCCGGAAACAAACAACAAAATCCGATACAGTCACTACACAACAGCAGTGTAGAGAGTCATACAGTTCCTTAGCTACAAAGGCTGTCACTAAGATGATGTTTCTAAACAGACCAGTGACGATGCTTCTACAATCTGATACAGTCGCTACGGTCCGGAAACAAACAACAAAGTCCGATACAGTCACTAAAAAAAAAAGCAATGTAGAGAGTCATAAAGTTCCCTAGCTAAAGAGGCTGTCACTAAGATGATGTTTCTAAGCAGACCAGTGACGATGCTTCTACAATCTGATACAGTCGCTACGGTCCGGGAACAAACAACAAAATCCGATACAGTCACTACAAAAAAGCAATGTAGAGAGTCATACAGTTCCTTAGCTACAGAGGCTGTCACTAAGATGATGTTTTTAAACAGATGTTCATGGTTCGCAGGTGCAGATGGATTCTCATGGTTTGGTACCTGATGAAATGTTACGGGACAGGACCAGGAATTCATTATACAGCTGACAGGTTTAACGCGAATCAAAGTCTAAAAACGGCGATGCCTATGGCTACGGCTATCTCGTAATGGTACGCAGCAATGGCAGCAGGTAGTAATTCAATTGGCCTAATAAGGGCGGCTTTTAAATATTTGTGGATGTTGTAATTGTCAGCTCGATTCTCGTCGTCGGAATATTCTGCTTTTGAAGCACCCAAGTGTCAATGGCAATACTGAGCAGAAATATGATCAATTCTTCAAATAAAATTTTCAGATATTATTGATGACTCGAATACGTCAATGTTACGGGAAGGGACCAGGAATCTATTATTCAGTTGATAGGTTTAACGCGAATCAAAGTCTAAAAACGGCGATGCCTATGGCTATGGCTATCTCGTAATGGTACGCACTAATGGCAGGAGGTAGTAATTCAATTGGCCTAATAAGGGCGACTATTAAATATTTGTGGATGTTGTATGTACTAGTAACTGTCAACTCGACTTTTGTCGTTGGAATATTCTGCTTTTGAAGCATCCATACGTCAATGGCAATACTGAGCAGAAATATAGTTAATTCTTAAAAAAATATGTTCAATTCTTCAAATAAATTTTTAGATTTTATTGATGACTCGAATACGTCAATGTTACGGGACAGGACCAGGAATCTATTATTCAGTTGATAGGTTTAACGCGAATCAAAGTCTAAAAACGGCGATGCCTATGGCTACGGCTATCTCGTAATGGTAAGCGGCAATGGCAGCAGGTACTAATTCAATTGGCCTAATAAGGGCGGCTTTGAAGTATTTGTGGATCTTGTAATTGTCCGTTCGATTCTTGTCGTCGGAATATTCTGCTTTTGAAGCATCCATACGTCAATGACAATATTGAGCAGAAATATAATCAATTCTTCAAATAAAATTTTCAGATATTATTGATGACTCGAATCGAATACGTCAATGTTACGGGACAGGACCAGGAATCTATTATCCAGTTGAAAGGTTTAACGCGAATCAAAACAGCGATGCCTATGGCTACGGCTATCTCGTAATGGTAAGCGGCAATGGCAGCAGGTAGTAATTCAATTGGCCTAATAAGGGCGGCTTTGAAGTATTTGTGGATCTTGTAATTGTCAACTCAATTTTTGTCGTCGGAATATTCTGCTTTTGAAGCATCCATACGTCAATGGCAATACTGAGCAGAAATATAATCAATTCTTCAAATAAAATTTTCAGATTTTATTGATGACTCGAATACGTCAATGTGGTACCATACACGCTCATATTGGGTATTGGGTGATAAATTATCATGCAAATCCACCACATTAAGTACAAAGCAAAATTAGAATGCGATTTCTGATTCCTGAAGTGGTTGTAATGGTTAATAGACCGAATTACGGGTGATATAAGGGGTCGTTTATTTCATTGTATAACCTTTGAATGGCTTGACTTATTTATTGGAGTTATTGGATTGTCAGAGCGTGTATGCACCAAATGGGCAGATGGAGACATATGTTACGGATTCAAATAATGAATATACAGCCACAGCATTGACCATTGTATCATGAAGGACGGACAGAAACATTTGCTGAAACATTTTTTTTATATATTCCAACATCTAATCACAAGACGTGGTGCCGCCACCAACACGGGACAATACTATACTCATTTTCACCTGAGTCTAGAGGGGGAAGTCGTGTAAAGTGCCTTTCTCAAGGGCACAGGATCGGTGGCATGTCAGGGCTCGAACCCGGGACCTCTTGATTCCGAGTCGCGCACGCTGCCGTTCCGCCACACGACCCCAATGCTGAAACATTTGAAAAGAAGCTATATTGTATTGTCTTACCCCGGTTTAACAGTGTCAGTTATATTCCAGGTCTAGCTGGTTGATCAAACGATGCAGATGATAATATCATAAAACAGCTCAATGCAATAATGTCAGTAGATAAAACGTGACTAGTATGTGCTGGTCAATATTATATCTCACCATGTATTTGTTGTTATGTACGTTGTTCTAACACTTTTGTAACAAGAATTCGAGATCTCATACCTCCGTGAAATATATGAGTTTTTGTAAATGTTTTTTATTTGTCTCACTGACTATGGGAATAAGCATAATCTAGTTTAATCTATGGTTTTCTAAATTCAAATGACAATGGAGGTAATTATCAATAACTTTTAGGCAGAGTAAAATAACGAGACTATCTTCACATGTGGTTAATTTTTTTTTTTTTTAACTTTTCCGTGTCCGCCACGGCACTTTATTCTCTCCACATGTATGTTACAAATAATATGTCAGCATATAAGCTTAATAAATCAATGAAGTACATGAGTCTTGCGAACATAAAACATATTTTTTTTGTGTGTGCTTATCTTATTTCTCTTTCAGAGACAGAGCAGAGAGTCTTATTCTTGTCATTCTGAATAGTAATCATGTGGTTAATACATACGTTGAAGCTAGATGCGGACAGCCACTGTCTGGTAACATTATATATTATTAAATCAATGACCGTTACTAATTAAGGCAGGGCCCGCGTCTCGTTTTCGAACAAAACCTTCAGCCTGGAATCAATTTGCATCAACTGTTGAAGGCATGGTCACGTAATTAAGCAATGGATAATCAAGGAGATAGAATTGACTATTGAGAAGGAGTGCGTGTGCCGCTAAGACTGTTAATAGATTTTTATATCAGACGAATTAAGGTTAAGGTAACCGCCCTCTGAGTAGTCCTCAACAAAAACTTCAACAAGAATTCGGAGATTTCAAACCTCCATGAAATATATGAGTTTTTGTAAATGCTTTTACACAGTACACTACACTACAGTACAGAACAAAATAACACAGGTTTTTGTTTTTAACAAAAAGCTAATACAGTAGCACCTTTGGCCTCAGTACATGTAGCCTATTCCAGAGGGAGAACCACATCAATCAAACCGGGTAGGCGCGCTGCCTAACAGCTGGTGTTTTGTTGCCTAACCGGCACATCTGTCTTCCCTCAAAATAAAAGAGTCCTGCTGCAATACCAAGGTCAGCCACCAGGAGGCCCATATTTTACCTTGACCTTTCGCTTCCTAAGACCTACCAGCATACCAAATATCATCACAATCCATACAGGCGTTATGAAGTTATGCTGACTACAAATGTGCGGAAACACAGACACATACACACACACACACAGACGCGCCAAAAACAATACCTCCATTTTTCATACCACAACACATGGTATACGTCTGGAAGGTTTCTTAATAAAAACTCTGTAATTGATGAGGTTTTTCTATTAAAACTCTGTAATTGATAACTTCGACGCAACACGTACTAAGCTAACTGCCAAGTCTGTCTAGCAACAATGTATATTTCAAGAAGTTATCGATTATGTGAACCAGCCAAGAGAATTCCTAATTGCGACCCCTACCTATTTAGGAGTTTGCAATTTGTGAGTGTCACTGGCCTTACGTATACGTCCTTAACCTTAAGCTTTACCCAAATGTAGGGATTTTGAATCGTTCGTATAACTCCACTGTACAACAGTGTCCAGTTTAATTCCGGAATTCCAGTTTAATTCCGGACTAATTCCCATATCTCAGCAACCTTACGTCTAAATGGGATAATATTCTAAGATATAGGTAAACATGATGTAAGAAGCACGTAGTAGCCATCGGTGACCCCTTGGAAATCAACACAGTTCTGCAGAATTCTGGGAACTGGAGCCTGAATTCTTCCGGAATTAGTCCGGAATTAAACTGGAATCCCGGAATTAAACTGGACACTGTTGTACATAAACTACTGTTTTATCTTGTATCCCCATCTGCCACTAGCACTCTAATCTCCAATCATGTAAGAGTATGCCATGATACAAGGTGCGCACTAGAATCAAATGTAGCTACAAAAAATTAGGCCAATAAAGAGACTCAAAGAAGAGTTTTATTCAGTCGACGTTTCGGTGACCGTCTGTCATATTCCTCGGGGCAATTCTGACTGGTTCACATTGCACGACAAAGTGTAGCAGCTTACAGATATGAATAAAACACTTGCGTAACAAGAGTCTCTTTATACAGTGACTTACCAACCTGATGAAAGATGAAACTATTCACGGAAGAAATTAGACCGCAACTAATTGACTCAAATGCCAAAAACTGTGGGGTCGTGTGGCGTAGCGGCAGAGTGCGCGACTCGGAACCTAGCGGTCCCGGGTTCGAGTCCTGACATGCCACCGATCTTGTGCCCTTGGGAAAGGCACTTTACACGACTTTCCTCATTTCGCTCAGGTGAAAATGAGTATTGTCCTGTCATGTATTTGTCCCCTGTGTTGGTGGCGGCATTAATATGAGTTGATATAACTTGAGTGTGCCGTCACCACGTCTGGTGATTACATGTTGGAATAAAAAAAAGCTAGTTCGCGTTGGTGCTGAAATGCCTTCCACTAACAATGACTTTTTCCCCACAGGATTACACAGTGGGGATCTACCTGCGACAGTTCTGGCAGGACCCACGGCTGGTGTTTGAAGGACTGAACAAAACCATCAGCCTGGACTCAAACATCCGGCCCAAGATCTGGGTACCGGACCTGTTCTTCGTCAACGAGAAGGACGGCAAGATGCACGCCATCACCACAGCCAACAAGTACATACGGATCCACCCTAACGGCACCGTTCTATATAGCATGCGGTAGGTATACTCTATAGCAGGCGGTTTACCTGCATGTGATATACCAGTTGTTATTGTATAGCAGGCGGTTGGTAATCTGTAGCATGCGGTAGGTTCTCTACAGTATGCGGTAGCTACTACTAGGTATTCTATAGTATGTGTTAGGTACTCGATAGACTGTGATAGGTACTCTATAGCATGCGGCAGGCGCTCTATAGCATTCAGTAGGTGCTTTCCGTATAGTATGGACCGGAGTAGGCCATCTATAGCATGCGACAGGTACTCTATAGCATGGAGTAGGTACTCTATAGCGTGCGATAGGTATGCTATAGTATGCGGTAGGTACTCTATAGCGTGCGGTAGGTACTCTATAGCATGCGGTAGCATAGGTACTCTATAGCATGAGGTAAGTATTCTATAGCATGTGGTAGGTACTCTATAGGGTAGGTACAGTTGTACTCATTAGCACGCGGTAGGTACTCTATAGCATGCGGTAGGTACTCTATAGCATACGGTAGGTACTCTATAGCATGCGGTAGGTACTCTATAGCATGCATTAGGAACACCGACCTCCGTATGGCACGGTAGTTGGGTAGCCACACTTTGTAGTGGATAAATCGGAATCGGCCTTAGCAGTGTTATGCATCAGGCAATCCCTGGCAGCTGTTTTAACGAGATACATTCTAAAGAATGTTTTTACTACTGGTAGATAAGATTACAACTTCAGCTTAGGCGATCAGTTAGTCACTCAGATACTGCACTCGGTAGCGATTTCTCCCAAGAGTAACGCATTCAGGTTCAATACTGCCGATACCTTCAGTGCTTTAAAAGACAGACAGATACCGGTGCAATAGCTCAATTGGTGGAGTGCTCGCTTTGTAACCGGGAGGTCGTGAGTTTAAAAATGACTTTAAAAATGGTACACACTTCTTTCTCTGCTTAGCACTCAGCACATATGAGAAAGAGTGTGGGAATGTCAAGCATACAGCACTACCAGCGGACCAGCCCCCTGCTGTAGTGCCCTGCACAACTGTGTGTCGCCCAAGGGCTACGGAAATGGACATGGGCACCAAAACCCTATGCTCTGTATAGAGCACGGGTAGACCTAACCACTTACTGGTACATCATATATGGAAATGCATGCTGACTTCTCACCCTCACACGGTTGACCTAATATTGAGTTTCATGTATTTGGACAGGCAAGGACTTGCCAAAAGGGAATCGAGTAACCCACTTTTCACAGCATTCCGCGGTCCCCTAGGGCAGAAGCAATGGTTTCTATCAAACCGCCCACCCGTAATGGTACCAAACTTCACGGTGCGACGTGTAGAATTACAAGTAGGAAGCCATCTAGTCAACTGAGAAGGATCTGTCCATGTCTAATAATGGGCCATAGTTCCTATTGGTTGTGTTTGAAAGCCCGTTGTCTGAATCGCCAAGCCTTCAATGAGTTGATTACGTAGATAACCAAGTGGATCTGCTCTTTTATGTGAAGTCCTCCGAAATGATGAATTGTTCGATTTGGAGATTAGAGCGATGGTTACTTGACTGACTTGATTATGTGTTTCAGACTGTCTCTGAAGCTGTCCTGCTACATGCATCTGCGCAGCTTTCCCGCTGACAAGCAGTACTGTAAGATGCAGATAGAAAGTTGTAAGTCCAGCTAATCCATTCTTTTTCCTTTGTAAGCCACCCGTGATATTAGTAGATAGTTTCAAAGGAGTTAATTTGCACAGTATGTTACACTCGATGCACATCTACATCTTGATAAAGCAAGAGAATCCACGATGAGTATCAGTGCAGTGGTTGAGCTTTGCCGTTACTTATTAAATTTTAAGGCTACAAAGTGTGTGTTGTGAGCGAAACGCTTAGAAAACAAATTGACATGCCAGACGATTTTATCCAACAGTAGATGATTAACAACATTAACATCAATCAAATATATAATGGGGACGTTAATGGTAACTACTACAAACGAGTTAAGACAATTGTGACTGCTTTTAGCATATTAAGTAAGTGTATTGGCGTGGTTTTTAATTTCTCAACACTGACAACAGTTCAAAATGCAGTTTTTATTCTGCATGGTCCTTGATTATTCGTATTCCCGCTTTCTAGTCTGTATTAAAGATACAAGTTTTTCCACAAACTGTGCCCCATACTTACATATCCTGCTATATAACTGTGCACACTGAAAGATAAGTAAAAAGCTGCTGTGACACTAGCGTCTAACGTTTAATGACTACCCCACCTCCTCCCCGGTGCAATACCTCAATTGGTAGAGTGCTCGCTTTGTAACTGGGAGGTCGTGAGTTCAAACACCGGCCGGGTCATACCAAAGACTTTAAAAATGGTACACACTTCTTTCTCTGCTTAGAACTCAGCACATATGAGAAAGAGTGTGGGAAGGTCAAACATACAGCACTACCATCGGACTAGCCCCCTGCTGTAGTGCATTGCACAACTGTGTGTTGCCCAAGGGCTACAGAATTGGATATGGGCACCACCCTACGCTCTGCATAAGGGCACGGGAGACCTTTCCTTCTTTTCCACCTCCTCCCCGAAATCGTTTTCGTGCCCTTCAATCTCTGTTTCCCAACTTCGCAGACAGCTACACGACCCAGGACATGGTGCTGGGCTGGAGCACCAACCGGGCGCCGCTGGAGATCTCCCGGGAGGTCCACCTGCCGGACTTCGACCTCAGCATCGCCGACGTCAAAAGTTGTACAGCAGGGTACTCCACAGGTTTGTCCTTGGACCTTATTTGCCAATTCCAAACCATACATCTTTAATGCTTAGGTCACATTTCCAGGCCGGGGCCCGGCCGGGCTGTTTGTATGAACGAAAAATCAACAATTCTTATCAGGAATATACACAAATTGTACTCATGATTATCTTTTAAACTTTTTCTGTGCTCTGTTGTCTTTTGTATCGTACATTTCGTTCCATAAGACTGCCCGGCCGGGCCCCGGTTTGGAAATGTGACCTCAGCATCACTCTCCGTTAATTCATCATAATGACAATTTTAAATCTTAATATAAATAATATAAAGATAAACATATTTTGAAGGTACTTAGCGCTTCTAATGGCTCTATTTGACTGCTGTGCATGCATTTATGTTGGTCAAATAGATGTAGAAGTCAAACACTTCAAAGTTTTTGAAAGGAAAAGCTGCCCTCTGATGGTATCTTCAGCAAAGTTCATTGAACAGCAATCTATTTATCGCAATATCAAACATTAACCATGTAAGTAACGACGCAAATAGAAATTTACAGGCGATGGTAAGCCAATGATTCTATTGCTTTCTTGTAACTTTTGTGAGTAAGTTCAAGTCACGCACAACCTGGCCTATCAGAGTCAGATATCTCTAAGACGTTTCGTTGCGAAAGGTGACTGAGTATATGACTGTGGTCTTATCTTGACTTGCATAACAGATAAGGGCATCATTACCTTAAAGAACGACCCGCACAGAGGAGCAATATCTGCGACAGGCAGTGGTCCTATCTGATCTGAAGCAGAGTTTATTTCCTGCAAGTTTTCACCCTGGTAGAACCAACTTTGATAACTTCGAGAAGTTTCGGACGGGCTGGCTCTAACGACTTCTCTGAAAGTCTTCACTTATATTGTAGAATCTGATGGCCTGGCCCACTGCCACCGGTAATGGTGAACTGTTATCGACAGATGGTCATGACAATAGCGTTAATGTTATCACAGCCCACACTCGGACGTCATTAGTGAACTTTACCAGACAGAAAGTTCGGAGATTTGAGACAAGATTGCCAATACAAGTCTTCAGGCTATGACAGGAATAGTCTATCGTGTACTCCGTGAAATCCCTGGTTGGACACAATGAGCCGTAGATATATTTCTTGGCCACGCTCGTAACATACTTCTTCATCAGCGATGCTCATTGTCGTCTTGATGGAGCCCCTAACGACGAAGTCTGGATTATAGGACAGCACTTTGCTTACCATACTTTCAAAATTTCCTCTATCTTTGTCCATCATTATCATCATTCAAGACATTTTCTTGCTGTGGCGGATCACAATAAGTCCGTGTTTTATCGTTATTTCCTTAGACCAGATTCCCAAAAGCTTACCAAATCTGTGAATCGATAACAGTGGTTGGGTATAGGAGCATTGAAATGCTATTCTTGGAGAGATTCCCAACAATTACCACCATCCAATGTATCAGCCACAATTGCCATGTCTTTGAAAGATGTGTTCCTGTACGCTCTTACCAGTGCCAACAGCCAATAACTGATGTATGGTGAGGTCACCGAGAGCACATTTTCTAGAAGCTATAGAAGAAAAAGTTTTGCCAAACTGGCGCTTAAGGGAATTCCGGAATTGGTGAGATGAATGGTATTGACTATAGATAAAGCCGGAGGAATGTCATTCACATGGAAGCTGAAGATAAGCCATAAGTCCGGATCGATGCAGCAAGCCAGGTAGCAGGGAAGGTTTACCGCGCTCTGGTGTAGGATTTCCTCCTTTGGGTTTTTTCCAAGTCATAGGGCCCCACACTGTCTCAAACACAGGACAATAACCCCTCCACTATACACGATGTGATGCCATCCTCAGTATCTCAATACATTGCAGGGGTCGAAATAGATTTTGGGGCCAACTTGCACTGGTGCAGATAAAAAAAATACTTGCACCAGAAGAAAAATAGTTGCACCCGCCAAAAATAATAGGTACACAACCAAAAGTACATGACTTGTAGTAACTTTAATAGCATCCAATATTTGCTTTAAAAAAAGCACTACTAACCTACTAAAGCGACGTAGATACCTTCTATTAATTACAAAAAAATTAAGAAAAACTTCATGGATTCTGGTTTTGTTGAAATTGTTTTCCCTTTCGAGTTCTGTATTGGGTATTTCTACAGGTTGTAACAGCGGATAAAGCAAACTTGCACCGCCGTGCATCCCGGCAAAACATTAGTTGCAACACACCAAATTTACTTGCACCAAGTTGCACACAGAGGGGTATTTCGACCCCTGAATACAGTATACTGTGACTCAAGCCGGTTATCCGCGCTCTGGTACATGGTGTACGATTTACTCCAACAGTTTTTTTCCAAGTCATTAGGGCCCCCACATCTCAAACAGAGACAGGACAATGACCTCTCCACTCTACACGACATGATGCCATTCAAGCCGGTAAACAATCCCAAATCGATATGCTAATTTGTGCAGATAAATGAAGTGTGTCAAGTAATTCTACTGAGTCGCCGGTGCGGTAAATCAGGCTGGATACCAGGTTCAGACCTAATGAAACAGACTTGCAGTGAATGAAACGGACATATGTGCAGTAACCACGTAGTAATGAAGCGAAATAAAGTATCCACATGCTAAAATACAATGTGTGTGTGAAAGATAAATCGCCTTGTTGTTTCTGGATCTTTACCAAAACATACGAAGAGCACCCAGCGTTACATCGCTGGCTCACTATAGCCTTCTCATCATAGCCTTCTTACTTTTCTGGGTTAACTGGAACAAAGTAATGGGCCGGGTCATACAATCAGGGCATAACTGATTTTCCATGGACCTTAAGAAGACAATTGCCTGCTATTGTCTCTGCACATATGCCGGATGATGGAACTGTTATCCCCTTGGAAGTGCGCAACTCATCTAGTGAACACAGAAGAGACAACCTTCCCTTGACATTCCCGGCAATCGATTTAAGACTGCGAGAAGTATCGGAGGCTTTATGTGTTGTATATTGATGAAAAAAGTTCATGATTCTCTAACAGAATGACAGTTTAAAGCTAGCTTGGAATTCATTGAGAAAACGTACAATTGAAAAATTTACATGAGGTTGAAATGTCAAATGTTATAAAGAGAAATACTATGATGTACCAGTGAACCAATAAAGTACATCCTTGTTATCTAAATGTATCTCACAGGGTAATCCACAAGCATCAATAACACACATCAATGGGGAGAGCAATATGTGAATACCGGGGAATGACTATATATCTCTATACCAATGGCAATTCCCATGAAGAAGTAGTATTTGTCTTCTTGATACACAATATCGTTATTATGGCCGGAAGTGATACTGGTTCGTCTTCTTGACAGACAATAACGGTTTATGTTGCTGTACTGCTGACGTTTTATGAATAGATCTTAACTTTATATTCACTTTAACTTTCTCCTTGAACTGAAATGACACACTATAAAGGTTTTACGGCCAGAGTGCTACTGATTTGTCTTCTTTATCATACCATCTGTTTTACTGATTCGATCTGTTGATGTGCGACAGCATGGTATATCATCGTACTGCTAAACTATTAATGAGTCCTCTTGAACTGCAATAACATGCTGTTGGAGTTTTATAGGGTCGTTTTTACGGTGTAATATATAATTAGCTGAAGAGCATGGTATATGTTTTACGTTATTGTGTAGAAGAAGCTGTATTAAATTAAAAGTAGATTTCTTGTTGCATCTTTGACATGTTAACACTTGGTTAACGTTTACCTTCAATGTCTAAAATAGATACTTTCAATGTATTTACTAACTAACTTAAAGGTGTATTTTGTTACACGGATTTCTTCAAATAGAAATTTGATAAACTCAACTTATAATGTCAGAAATAACTGGTAAATTGAATTTTCAAAGCACTCAATAAAGCCTGATTGACGCAGAAAATATTCAATGTGCTCTCACCTTAGGCTTAAGCGCGTGGTACATTATCATGCTGCTAAAGTATTAATGAGTTGTCTTGAACTGCAATAACATGCTGTTGACGTTTTATAGGGTTATTTTTACGGTGTAATATATATTTAGCTGAAGAGCATGGTATACGTTATACGTTATTGTGTAAAAGAATCTGTATTAAATTCAAAGTAGATTTCTTGTTGCATCTTTGACATGTTGACGGTTGACGTTTACATTCAATGTCTAAGTTACTTTCAATGTATTTACTAACTTTTAAGTTAGTTAATTTTGTTACACAGATGTCTTCAAATAGAAATTTGATAAACTCAACTTATAATGTCAGAACTAACTGGTAAATTGAATTTTCAAAGCACTTAAATTGTGTAAAAGAAGCTGTATTAAATTAAAAGTAGATTTCTTGTTGCATCTTTGATATGTTGACAATTGACGTTTACTTTCAATGTCTAAAATAGTTACTTTCAATGTATTTACTAAATAATTTAAAGGTGCATTTTGTTTTTTTCAAAATGCATCTTTAAATTAGATTTCTTCAGATAGAAACTTGATAAACTCAACTTATAATGTCAGAAATAACTAGTAAATTGAATTTTCAAAGCACTTAAAGCCTGATTGACGCCAAAAAATATTCCATGTGCTCTTACCTTAGGCTTAAAATCTGGGTCGTTCACTACTCGTGATGTTTATTGGGCTGGACGCCAGGTAGCTCATGCATATCATATACATCTGCCTGTTGGAGCTATTTGCCCTTCGCCCTAAAACTGGGCCATCTCGGTTCAATAAAACCATGCACTGTAGGGCAATGGGTTATAGGATGCTGTTCAATCTTGTTTTCCAATGCAATTTGTTTTCTGGAGATTAATTTTAGTCAGTGTCTTCTTTCCATAATTATGCAAAAGTTACATTATGAAAAGTATCTAAATTGTTTCCCAAATGGATATAACCTTAAACTGTTCAAGTCTAAGGTCAACAAACATCTGTCCTCACTGTGTTCTGTTTTGTGGTGAACATGAAGTAAATAAAAAAAAAATTAATCTTGACAAAATTCATAACTGGAATAATTTTTTTGCTGCTTTTACTTCAATCCTATAACCAGAGTGTCTGCTAGCATTTGCAATGTTAAAATACCACTTGTGACAAAACAAGGATCAATAGCACCTTTTTTATTCATCAAAACAAGAAAACATAACAAGGACAATGTGACGCTGCACTCAAGTTTATACCTTATATTAACAGCGCTACACAACAAAAAAGTACAATTAACATTTAGATACACAAAGTTGACATATCTGTGCGCCGTTGTCCCACCACCCCAAGACATTAAAATGTTAATGGTAACAAAGTTATTTGAAAAATAAGATTACGTGGTAACCTCCTATATCTCATGGAAACACATCCGCCAATCAGAGCTAGGAGGAGGATTTAGGCCCATTAACACATACGTAGTACAAATGTATTTGGACTTCTATTTCTAATTGACTGCTAGAAACAGTCAAGCAGAGCTAGAAGCGCTTGGTATCTCCCTTTTTGCATATGACATTTAGTCGGTAAAAGGTCATGATACTAACTCTTCCATGTTTATGGCGTGCTGATTTTCAGGAGATTTCCCGTGCATCAAGGCTGACTTCTTATTGGAGCGCAGAATCGGCTACTTCCTCATCCAGATCTACCTTCCCAGCATCCTTATCGTCATCATCTCCTGGGTGTCGTTCTGGATCCACAGCGAGTCTGCGCCTGCGCGAGTAGCCCTGGCCATCACGACCGTCCTGACCCTCACCACACACAGCGCCACTACTACTCGGGCCGCCATGCCCAGGTCAGTCTTTTGGTATCACAACTATTGATGGCGTCATCATGACGTCATATAAATTTGCATAAATTATCGTTTTGCAACAAGACACTTTGTGACAAAAATTCAAAGTCCATACTTTTAAGTATGGACTTTTGAATTTTTTAAACTGCACTTTTGGAAGACCCCAAAAGTCCCCAATGTTTACAATGGTGGTAGATAAAAGACAAGTCCGGTAATTTTGAACCCTCACCACCCACAGCACCACTACTACTCGGGCCGGCCGCCATGCCCAGGTCAGCTTTTGGTATCACTGCACTTAAACAATGGTAGTAAATGTCAGCAAAGTCGGGTAGTGTTTACAATGGTAGTAGATAAAAAACATGTCCGGTGATTTCGGACCCTCACCACCCATAGCGCCACTACTACTCGGGCCGCCATGCCCAGGTCAGCATTTTGGTATCACTGCACTTAAACAATGGTAGTAAATGCCAATAAAGTTAGGCAATGGTGCACGTGGTAGATAAAAAAAAATGTCCGGTAAGTTCGGAACCTCACAGCGCCACTACTACTCGGGCAGCCATGCCCATGTCAGCATTTTGGTATCACTGCACTTAACCAATAGTAGTAAATAACAGTAATGTCGGGTTTACAATAATGTTTACAATGGTGGTAGATAAAAGGCAAGTCCGGTAATTCGGACCCTCCCCACCAATAGCGCCACTGCTACTCGGCCCGCCATGCCCAGGTCAACTTTTGGTATCACTGCACGAAAAATTGGATTTACCGATGGTAGTCATTCATTTTCATCATCATGGTAGTAACTGCTAGTAAAGTCAGGCAATGTTTACACTGGTAGTACATGTAGATAAAACACATGTCTGGTAACTTCGGAACCTCACCACCCACAGCGCCACTACTACTCGGGCGGCCATGCCCAGGTCAGCCTTTTGCGTCACTGCACGAAACTTTAGATTTACCGATGGCAGTCATTCATTTTATCATCATGGTAGTAAATGCTAGTAAAGTCAGGTAATGTTTACTTTGTAAACAGTAACGGACTTAACAGGGGAAGTAGATGAAAGGCAAATCCGATATACTATAGTAAATTAAATTACCGGAGTTGAATTCTATTTACTACCTTTGTAAATTCATTTACTGGAATTTACTACCATTGGCAAATGTAAAAAACCAAATACATGCATGTAATTAAAGTGTAGCAATTCAAAATTCACATCTCTTTATTACAAACATTTTAAGCCCTTTAATAGCAAACTAGTCACTCTCACATTTCGATCCCGTTATATCTTCAATTGCTATTCCTAAAATGTATGCAGCAGGCCGATCGGATTATTTTATCTATCTATAGATGATTCAGTATCAAATTTATCTACTTTTGCATTTGTGGGAGTTGTTAATCTCCAAGCAGATCATACGGTGGCAAGGCAGTATCCATTGGCCGGAGGAGAGTCCATTAGGTGGCTAATGGACATTCCTCTGGCCAATGGATACTGCCTTGCCACCGTATAATCTGCTTCGAAATTAGAAGTTGTGCAACCATGCAAGGCTGTTATATTCCATATGTAGGCATTGTAATCTAAGTAGGATAGAGGATGAGGAACACTTTGTATTAGAATGTAGTTTATACAACGAAGAGAGAGCTGAGCTTTATAAACTATTGCAATGTATGTTTCCCCATTTCATACATCTTAGCAACACAGATAAGTTCATATTTCTAATGGCTTTAGACAAACCTTCGATTATAAAACACATCTGTACTTATATCTACATCGTTACTAAGAAGCGAGAAGAAGCCAAATTATCGTAATTATTAGACCATATGTCCATAGTACATAGAATTAGCGCTAGCTTGTACATTGTATATATTCATTGCAAACTGTAAACAAACTGTGACGTCTTTCTTGTGACCTGTACTGATCCCAGTGGGTATTTGCGTACAATAAAGGTCTTCATTGATGGCTGCTTTACTATAACAGTACTTAACCTGCACCTTGTCCCATCAGGGTTTCCTACATAACGGATATGGACATCTGGATGGCAGCGTGCCAGACCTTTGTGTTCGCCGCCTTGCTGGAGTACGCCATTGTCAACCACATCTCCCGCCAGGTAGGCTTCAACACTGGCAATTAATTACCAGATCCATACCCTTAAGCCATGCTGGTTTCACAATCAATTCAAATTGAAATGCCAATAGTAAAATAGATACATTAATAAAAGTACTAGCCATAGAATATCACCAGGAGTTTCTTGTTTATGTATGTGTTGCATTTTCATAATCACTTAGTCTATTTTCAATTGGTTGAAGTAGGTTGGTAGATTTCATAATACTTTACGATGTATTTTTAGGCATTTGTACATGTATATCTTCATGTATTGCCTTTCTACTCTTTGCTATCTCAATTTTGGCAATATCATACAGAGATAGAATTTCAAACATTTGTAATCTGCAGAAATTACTTAATATGACATAAAAAGAGAACAAGAAGAGAACTGAAGAGTTACCTTATAGTTCATTACGTAATATACTAATGTGTTTTGCAGGACAAACGTCTAATGAAGAAGCTTCGTCACAAAAAGAGAAATGACCCCTGCAGTGGTGACGGCGGGGCCACGTCTCAACTCAACGGTCTGCACCTGGGATCCTCAGCTGCACAGAGTCAAGGTGACAGGTGCACACCTGATGTGGACAGCTGCACACCTGTAGAAGGCATGAAAGCACCTGAAAACAAGGGCTGTACTACTGACCCACCCTTGCACGAGACTCCTTTTACAACAACAACAACGACCACAGAGAACCACAACAGCATTGCCAGCGAACCGATAACACTGTCGGCTGACGTCTCGGGAAAAGATCAGAATTCAAAGACTGGAAACGTGAAGAAGGATGACGAGTATACACCAATGGCTGTGACCAGTATCCCGTATCCAGCCAAGAATTACGACGTGCCAGATAAAGACAAGGAAACGCGAGTGGAGATACTGTGCTGCACGCCCAAGGACAAGCCCAGTAACCAGAACTGTGAGTCAGTCCGCTTCACCTCGGAGTTAAGACTAGAGGCGAAGAGACTGGCAATACGACGCTCCCACGCGGTGGATCGCGCTTCTCGAGTTGTCTTCCCGCTGGCCTTCCTCATATTCAACCTCTTCTACTGGCTGTACCTTTACCGGATCCTACAGTAAAGTAATGAAACAGTGTACAAAATAGTTTTTTGAACCAGGTTGCCCAGTGCCTACGGCAAGAATTATGTTGCCCATCAGAATTTGAGGTTGCTCCACCTATAAGTTACTACTTTCCTCAAATTAAGTAATGTTACATACATAAGCCTTTGACAATATTTCTAACAGCATTTAGTTAACCGATACTAGTAATAGCCATTAATACTTAAAATCAAAAAGCATCTGCCGGATACAGTGGTGCAAGCCAAGTGGGCATGATTTGGGGAGGGGGGCATTCTTAAAATTCAAGTAGCACACTGGGCTACCTAGGTTCGAAAATAGGTTGCCCCAAGTAAAATTTGGTTGCCCGGAGCAACTGGGCAACCAGGTATTTTGCACGCTGTGAAAGATTTCAGACATTTGCCTTCTGCGTATATGTTGATATATTGTGATTGTCTTGTGGCATCTAAAGTTATTTGTACAAGGGTCAATGTGACCGTCAATGTATAGGTAGTTAGCTACCTCCTAACTACAAAATCACATTAAACTATATGTTTGGTACCAGAAATTTGTATCCAAAGCAAGTCTTGTGACCGGTGCACTACATAAAGACACTGCATCATGTGACAGTCATGTCAACTTAAAGCTGCCTAGTGGAGTGCCTTAAATTAAGTAAGGTCCAACTTCCAGATTATTACATATAGACATTACATGTTTAAGTGGGAGAACTGTCTAACAGTTTAAAAACACTGGGGTTTAATAAGGAATCTGTGTATTGTATCTATATCTTTATGACGTTATCAGTAAATCACCATATGAAAATAACACTGGCTATGTGCATGTACATGTACTTGAATTTGAATTGTGAAGTACGGATTTGTAAAGCAACTGCACATCAATATAGACCCCTACGTATACATGTACTCCTATCGGAAAATGATCGGGCTATGAGATTTGAAATGAGAAGTGTCTAGAAATTAATATGCAAATCAGAGTTCAACAGTAACCAATGACAAGGCTTAGGAGAGGATTTGAAATCCTCAACATTTGGCCTAGAAGCGGGTCTGATAGTCACTACACTATTATAAGCCACAGACATGAAAGGAATACATTGGGGAAGTTTAAAGCTAACTATAAACTAGAAACGTAACATTTGCAAAGCAACTACATAATGTTTACCTTCACCTGGTCTAGCCCAACAAACTACTGCTCTGTTTAGTCTTACTCTATAAGCCTAATACATTCATATGTATGTAAATGTAACCCAACACCACAGGGTGTTGCTACAGCACTAGTTACCATGGTGACAGACGTCTGGTCAAGGTCATTGACCTTATTTGTTTGGAGAAGAAGAAACTGAGCAAAAGCAATGTTTTTCTTCTGCGAAGGCAAACATGATAAACTACACTTTTCCCCATTGTTGGCCCAGGTAAAAGACTGCAGTCATCATAGTTGTAAACATGTTACAAAACTAGAGACTTGTAACCCAATATCAGTCAACTTGTGATGTGAACTGTAAATAAAACACTATCAACACAAATAAATAATTAATACATATCTGCCCACTGGTTACTCTGTCTTGAAGCCATTAGTATGGAATGTGCTGTTCTGCCTGTTGAATAAAACTTGTCAGAACTGTTTACTGTGTTTAGAGCACTGAATACATTGTCATTTATTAGGGGTCAGACATACATTTTCTACCTCCATGGTGTAACTAACACATAGATGTATTACTTGTGTTAGCCTCTACCAGACTTTGGAAAGAGTAAGAAATTGGGCAAATAGACAGATAACATGCCAGGGGGATTGCAAAAGGGTACAGTTTGCTGCTCCCAAGTGGACCAACTCCCCAGCACGTTATCTCTCTATTTGGCCAATTTCTACTCTTGCCAGCCGCTTCCCAAAGCCTGGAAGCTATATCTGTCATGATCAGGTAATAATGAATGTGACTCTGTTTGGTTAATGTACTTTGGTGCAAAATTTATTCAAAGTCTTCAAAGCCACAATCTCACCCATTACAAATTTGCTACAGATCGGTTGCAGTCATCATTCACACCGTAATATATTCTCTATTCTTTAGAATGGCACCATTTTAGGTCTTATACAGATCTTTGATCTGAATGATATCATTTTCTCCTCTTTATAACAATTTTTTTCTCATAACAATACTTGTGACAGCATTTACATTATCATGTTCAAATCTGTCATTACTAACAGACACATTTACAATTCCTGTGAAAACGTCCGCAACATACAGAAATCTCTTGAATTATAGCTATACAAAAAAGTATGCTTTTCCCTTTACAAAATGATCCCACAAAAGAGCAACAATGATGATAAAAGAATTTAGATTTAGGCCCCATACCCACTAGCATAAAATTGTCCGGATTAAACCGAACTGATTCGCTTTGATTTGGCTTCGATCCGGCCTGACGCTGGATCGATTCGGCTTGATCCAGACAATTTCATCCTAGTGGCAAAAGGGCCTTAGCATGCCCGTAGCCAGGATTTTGAATGGGGGAGTTCTTCCCACTGCTTGAGGGGACCTTGAGAGCTGTAGGCGCGAGGTTCCTTGGGGGATCAGGGGAAATTTTGAAAAATGAACCTTATAAAATGGCATTTCGTGCATTTTTGAGAGGATTTCAAAGAAAAAATCAGAGATAAATTTTTATTCAATGACAAAGGAAGCAGTTTTTCTACGATTCCAGTCTATCTTTTCAAGAAAAATCTAGGACTTTTACATAAAAAGTGGACCAAAAAGTGGACCTTTGAGCCTTGTGGGGGGTTCTTCCGAACTGGCTACGGGCATGTTTAGTCTCTTGTCCCCTAGAAAAGCCCAAACCATTTTTTCCTGGGCTGCTCCTTCTTCTCAGTCTCCTGTCGTCTGTCATACCCCTCTTCCACATCAAACTCCTCGGACCGGCTGTCCATCCCGACGGGTTGCCAGGGGAGACAGGCGGTGGCCGTGTCCAGCGGGACGACGCTTAAAAGGTTGTTCTCCTGCTTCAGGATCCCGAAGGACGAGAGGAACTGGACGGCCTCGTCGGCGTGGAACCTGATCTGACTGCCGGTCTTCTCCAACACCCACTTCTCTATGTCCTTCTCCAGGGCGCCTATCGCAGCGCCACCTGGTAAAATACAACGGAATTGCATCAAGGCAAAGTCAGGGGATACTGCCTTGAGCAACAGTGCATGTCTGCTGCATGATCAAGGTCTAAATTGTCTGATATGTATAGCTCATGAGAGCCACCTGGCAAAAGATATCAGAATTGCAATATGCACTGGTCATGAGTGCCACATTGGACAGAAGAATGGCATTTCACCATGACAACTTATGAGTGCCACCCATGAGAAAAAAGTGAAATTACATGTACAACCTATTGAACTCATGAGCAGCATCCACAACAAGTATGTCATTTCTACAGTTTCTTGCTCACTTGATCTTTTTTGTGGGACAGTAGTTACCTAAACTATGGCGAAAATTTTGGACCATTCACCATTGATTCATACTGGTGATAAAGTACAGGGTATTCATATGTATATGTTAAGAATAACCTGCTGGGCATATCACTTGTCAAAACAATTCCATTAGACTAAGACATATTCAGTCCCTTCAGAAAATTTCCACTACAGAAAATTTCTAAGGGCTTTGTCCTGCATATGACTCTAGGTTTGTCAACGCCTGAATTTACAGAAAAGTGCTGCTGACAGCTCTCTCTATGTATGGTGTTCTACTCACCTGGTGCGTCTGTGCCTGCCCCAGCAGACTGGTAGCTGAGGAGAAACGTGTACACCAGCAGGGTTTCCTTCACAGACTCGTCTTCGGCCCGGTCCACCAGCAGTGTCAGCAGGCCCCTGTTGTTGGCGATGTTCCGGTAGTACAGGGTCTTCGACAGCTCGGCGAGGTAGCGCATGTGCCGGTTCTTGTACGAGGACCAGGTGCGCGCGGCGATCAGGCCGGACACGCCGCCCACGATCAGCGACCAGTTGACCTGATACGACGCCATGACGGTAACTAGCTTGATGAGCATGCCGAGACTTGTGATGCCCACGCTGAAGTACAGGAACGCCTGGTCGAATTGGCTCATACGAACCTTTGCTTCGGGTAAAACCTGCTCTAAGGCGTTGATGGGAATGTCCTTAAAGGCCTTCAGGGTGAGTTTACCATCCTTGTTGTGTCGGACGGCAACCACTAACCTCTTGAAGGTTTCCTGGGCCTGTGGTTCCACGTTTTTGCTCCGCGTGACCAGACGACCGAGGGCTGCAAGCAGCCGCTTGGCCAGAGGGACCGGGACGGGTGGCCGCACCTCCTTACCAAGCGCCCAGAAGCGAAGGATGTCGTACCTGGTGGCATCAACTCGCACCTGTAGGAAAGCAAACATGTACAAAGGATCTGTGAATGATTTCATCAGGTTGGTGAATGATTGGATAGCAAAGGTCATTATTCACAACCACATACTTTGGGAGCGCACTAACATCAGTGCACAGTGAACCAGCAACACCTAGCCTCTATGCACAGTTAACCAGTAAAACCTACAACTAGCTTCAGTTCACAGTTCACCAGTAACACCTAGCCTTGGTGTACAATGAAACAGTAACACCTAGATTAAGTGCAGTACACGACTTCCCTGATCACCAGCCAACCTTGCTCCTAACCATGGTTGGGGGGAGTTTGGCAGTGTTTGGGAGGCCATATGTAGCAAAGAGTGACAGTTTGCACTCTTCAAATGGTTTTCCGTTCTTACATGAACTCACCATGACCCCATCGCCAGCCTGGTGCTCCTGTAGAGCCACCTCCACCACAGGTTTGGGCAACTCGTGGAAGTTTGCCTTCTCCATGACGATGGCCAGCTTCTGTAACAACCAGAACTCGTTCTCGGCGCGCTCCCGACGGTTCCACTGCCGCGTGCTGATCGTGTCTTTGTCGGGGTTCAGAGGGTCAAAGAGGGCCTGGTGGGAAAGAAATTGTCAGCTAACAAGTAATTAGAAAAACCTGTATTTTCTGAAGACATAATTGATGCAATTACAGCTAGAGCTCACTCAGGTGTACCTAGCCTTGATCAGACCGGTGCTGGAGTACGGTCACGTGCTCTTAGTTGGCTGCAGCAAACAACAGGAGCTGGCTATTGAGAGAGTCCAACGGCGGGCTTTACGGATCATCTCTCTGGGTGGAAGAAGGGAGGTACCTTCCCACACTCAGGGAACGACGAGAACTGGCAGCCGTGAAGCTTCTCAAAGCCATGCTAAATGCAGACCATCCCCTCCATGACTTGGTGGAGGGACTGACGAGCACGGGGAGACCCTGAAGGAACGCGGGTGGACTCAGGGTTCCCATGGCAAGAACCTCCAGACTGCAGAGGTCATTTCTGCATCAAGCCATCAGACTCTCTAATAATCAATAGCAGACCTAGTGTTGCTTTTTTTATGTTGTACATACTGTAATTGTTATGAATCTGTATGTCCTGTTTGTACCCTCGTTGTATATGTAATGGTCAGCGCAATTCAGCAGTCCATATTGTTCTTTATGTACTGCTGCTAGGCTGACCACTGTCTGAATAAAGAAAGAAAATAAAAAAAATAGACACATCATTTAGCAAAATACAGCAACCTACCAGTAGATACATGTGTACTGACTGCCTCATGTGTCGGAAGACACAGCAGGAGCCCCTAAGTCTAAGTACGATCTACTAGTAAGTTATATACCTGAGATCTAGATACATTTTCCATTGTATCCATCCTGTAGACTTGCTGTATATACTACATACAGCAAGTCTACAGGATGTTGAGGATTGTTATGCATACTATATAATATAGTATAGTACTAGTCATCCTAACAACCCTCTTTTGAACAGTATCACACAATGTAGGTGTAGAGCTAACATCCACAAAAGTACTGTCCTGTGTAGTCAGGCCCAGGCAGAAACTGACCTTAAGCTCAGTGAGTGTTCCATGATAGGTGGTGACCACGGCACTGTCCAGAGCCTGGAAGAACTTGTCAAACTTGACCTTCTCCCTGCTGGTCAGCAGGCCTGGGTGCTGGACCAGGTGCTGAATGAGCGAGCGGCGCGTGATGGGGATGAAACGCTCCACATACCTGATACCAGCCCAGAAAAGAACAAGAAATAGTCATGAAGAATGAAATTAAGACTAAGCTTTAACTTCCAACACATAGATTACAGAATTGGGACTTACCCAAATTTTCGGTTGACTCCATCAACCTTGTTCACGGAATGGACCCGTCTACTCTTGGAACGTGATGTCAGAGACACGTGACAGTAGTAGTGGGTCATACATGCTAGATAACTTGTGTCGCCCCCCATCTCTGTTCAGGGTAGGTCTGTGAGCTCTTAGTCTTATGTAGACCGCCTCCTTTCATAATGACTTGTACCAACACAGATGAACTTTCATGCTGAGAAATAGCCATGCCTTCAAGTACCAGAGGTATCAACCAAGGACTGAGGTGTTCAAAAATTCATTCTTTCCTAGAACTATCGCAGAGTGGAACTCACTGTCGCATGTAAAGTAGGGGCATTATCATTAGATAGCTTTAAACAATTTTTAGAGTTAGATGTTTGTGTGTTAGGTGTAACAAGTCATTTGGTATAATGTAGCCAGCTGCCACCGTGCCATGTGCCTGTGAAGCTAGTGTGTTATGCCGAAGGGCGGTAATACCGGCTATACAGATACAGAAGCTGGTGTGTTACACTGAAGGGCACTTATACCGGCTATACAGATACAGAAGCTGGTGTGTTATGCCTAAGGGCAGACAAACCAGCTATACAGATACAGAAGCTGGTGTGTTAAGCCAAAGGGTGGTTATACAGGCTATACAGATACAGAAGCTGGTGTGTTAAGCCAAAGGGTGGTTATACCGACTATACAGATACAGAAGCTGGTGTGTTATGCCGAAGGACGGTAATACCGGCTATATACAGATACAGAAGCTGGTGTGTTGCACTGAAGGGCAGTTATACCGGCTATACAGATACAGAAGCTGGTGTGTTATGCTGAAGGGCAGTTATACCGGCTATACAGATACAGAAGCTGGCATGTTACGCCAAAGGGCAGTTATACCGGCTATACAGATACAGAAGCTGGCGTGTTACGCCAAAGGGCAGTTATACCGGCTATACAGATACAGAAGCTGGTGTGTTATGCTGAAGGGCAGTTATACCGGCTATACAGATACAGAAGCTGGTGTGTTATGCTGAAGCAGTTATACCGGTCATACAGATACAGAAGCTGGTGTGTTACGCCGAAGGGCGGTTATACCAGTTACTAGTATACAGATACAGAAGCTAGTGTGTTACGCCAAAGGGTGGTTATACCGGCTATACAGATACAGAAGATGGTGTGCTACGCCGAAGGGCGGTTACACCAGCTATACAGATACAGAAACTGGTGTATTATGGCGAGGGGCGGTAACAATGGCTATGCAGATACAGAAACTGGTGTATTACAATGTATGGCGAAGGGCGGTTATACCAGTTATACAGATACAGATACGTACTCATCCTGACGTAACACCAAGCGTGACAGCTCCTCCTTTGTCAGGTCAGCTCGGGACAGCTGGATCTGTGGGGCGGGGGGTTTCGCGGGAGGGGGTGGGGGGACAGCGGAGGGGGGTACTTGGGCAGATGTCTCATAGGTTGATGGCTTCCCCTTAGGATCTGCATCAGGTGTAACTTTTGACTCAGGGATTTTTGCTGTAGAGTCTGTAGTTTTGTCTGCTGTTGTTGCTACAGATGCAGTGCTGTCCTTTTGCTGTTTGGTGCTGTCTTTTTGCTGTGTGGCGCTGTCCTTTTGCTGTACACTGCTGCTAGCTTGCTGTTGGGCATCACCTTTGTCAAAGTACCCGGCAAGGTTTTCTGAGGTCTGGAACTTAGTGTCTTTCTTCGAGGCTGTGTCTTTATCAGTTGATGTGCTGTATTGTAGGAATACTAGGTTGTATCTTGGACTTGGCCTATACACCTAAACAAAAGATAAACCAAAAGGTTAATTCAAAAGTGAATTGATACATGTTGTAGGGGGCATTGCTATATTGACCTCCCAATCCTACCTACGATTGTGCCTGATAAATGATGATGCACATGATATCTACCTCTTAGCAATATTCTACATTGTACATGGGCATATCTAAGGCTTAATGCTCTGAATTTTTTTTTGGCATCATTCGTCCAACAAATCATAAATCATTACATAATTTCTGTTCTCATAATGTCATTATGGTACCCTCAAACTATATTTTGTGGCGGCATGTGGGGAGGGGGTTGGGAAAAAAAGAACAAAAAGGGAGGGAGCAACTTAGCCAAGGATATCAAACGTTTACGTCATACTTAACACTATCCTTGACCCTAGTTCTATTGAAAGTCCAAAATAACAGGAACAAAATAAGTATATAGTACATTGTGTCTGATTTTTGTTGACACAAGTTACCGGGCCAGCTTGTAAAAGCCCAGACAGTGGAGGCCTTCAAGGCCGGGCTTCTGGCCGCGCAGCCATAGTCCGTCGCACCCCCCCCCCCTCTCAGTGATACCCCAGTAGGGGTGGTTAGAGAGTACTCAAGAAGAAGAAGAAGAAGAAGACACACCCCCAACTGATCATGAAAATTCCGTGCAACCTGTTACCCTGTAACCCTGTCTCAATGTGGTCCTGTGGGTAATGTCAGCACCTAAAACCCCATACTTCCATTGCACACCAGCCCAAACCACACTCTAAGCTACCAAAATACAGTTCAGATACCTGCACTAACGGCCGAACCGCCAAAGCCCGCCCCAACGAAAATTTCAGACAGGACAGCGCCATCTTGAATTGGGCTCGATAGGTTTGGGCTATACCACATTAAATAAGGGGTAGAAAGTGCAAAGGGTTGTAATGAGTGCGATAGTTCTGAAGAGTACAGGGTGAACTTCAGAGATAATTTATTTCAATTGTGAAATATAGGGTCTAAGAATAGTTCTAATCGTTGGGATATAAGAGGGTTTAAAAATGGATGTCTGAGACCATAACTCCCCTAAATGTTTTAGAATAGTCCATTTTTCCCGCCACGGTGACCTCACGGGGTCACCGGTCAGCCCTAAGGGTGCAATATCCTCTACAATATCCTGTTCAACAAACAAAAGTCCGTTTGTGGCAGTTTTGCAGACAGAGAAAGCCTCTGTCATTTGCTTCTGACCACGAGGAGGTCGAGACCTATCTGTGCATCAGACGCCAAGTTTACTGATCCTATCCTTGCTTACATCCAAGTTGATTAACTTACAGGTGAGTACGAACTTTGAAGGGCCTTTGAACGAAGAGGTGACTACATCAGATGTAGGCCATAATTGTACAAAGTGCACAAAACAAGACGACTTGGCAGATTAGACTTACTAGAATAGAATCCTCGACTCAGTAGAAAACAATTTTTGCGTGCCGATTTCAACCAAGGCTCAGTTAACAAGTATCACAGGCACTACATGTTTTACGTTCTTCCCGTAGTAAGTGAAATATGTACACATAATAACATTTATAGCTGGGATAAAACAGTGGTCTTTGGGGAGGGGCACGGCACGCTGTTCAAACACAAGAAACAATTAACGTAAGAATTCAGATAGCAAGCACAAGCTTGGCCGATTTACCGTATGATTTATGATTACATGTTGTAGCCTCTGCCAGGCTTCGGGAGGCAGCTGGAAAGAGTAGAAATCGGCCACTATGATAGAGAGATAACATGCCAGGGGAGTTTGTCTGCAAAAGGTTCTCTCCCAGCAGACAAACTCCCCTGGCATGTTATCTCTCTATCTGACCGATTTCTACTCTTTCCAGCCGCCTCCCGAAGCCTGGTAGAGGCTATACATGTTGCACATCCAGAAAAATGTACTGGCTAAAGTTTCCATGGTACCGTAATAATACCAGTTAGCAATGTACATGTAAAACACTCCTGTTTTGGAGTCCCTTCGTCTGAGGCCATGTTGATTTGATAATATGGATGACATCCGCGCGCGCATTAATATTCGGTCGTTTAAAAAAAGTTTTCTACCATAATATAAATCATACAAAACAGTAGCAAAATGAGCAAATACATAACTGTGTTACCTTCAGTTGCAAACAAAAACCAATATCGTAGAATACCAAAATCAAACGAAAATGTAAAGAAATGAATCTGAAGAATAGATTATTCACCATACCATACTGTGTGCCATTTGTTCAACCTTCAAGACCACGTAGATTTCATAATGAAAGCAATTTTTTTGCCAAACTTTTTTTTTTAATTTGCACGCTCGCATCAGTTTGGGGGTTCCCAGAGGATGTCATCCATATAATCAAATCAACATGGCCTGAGTCATTTCTTAGTATCTGGTGTCAATCAGAAGTCTACATATTGTTTTTTAAATTCTGTATCTTTTTTATCAACAGCCATTGCTGTAAATTGTATCATATGGTTTGTTCGTTACAGAAGTGTTTCTAGCTGTCGTTACTATGGCAACAAATGGCAGTGGCTCCAAAGATCCTGCTGCAGGACCTTATCACCAATTCGGGTGCAGGGTAGCACCAAATTGGCCACCCGAGTTACCATTTACCCCCTACGGGCAGCCAATGGTGACAGGCAGCCAATGGTTACAGGGGGCCAATGTAGACCCCCCTTGCCCCCTACCCTGGGTGCCAGACTCATTTCGGGCCGCTAGCCGTTTCCCTCCGGTAGCTAGAAGTCCCTCGCCGGCCTGTTCAAATTACCGCTACGGGGGAGTCGAGCCCGGGGGGAGTTTGGCTGGCCCTACAACGTTGTCTGGCACCCAGGGTACCTGCCCCCGAGAATCTGCTTGGGAGATTGCCAATAAACCCTACCAGTGTGGGGAGTGCAACAAACGGTTTATGGAGAGGAGTAATCTGGAGAATCACAAGCGGACTCACACGGGTGAGAAACCCTACAAGTGTGAGGAGTGCGGTAAGGTGTTCGGTCAGCTGGGTGGTCTGACAAGACACAAGAAGATTCACACAGGAGAGAGACCCTTCGCGTGTGGGAGATGCAGCAAGCAGTTCAGTAGGCTGTGTCATTTAAAGACTCACATGCGGACTCACACAGGTGAGAAACCCTACAAGTGTGAGGAATGCGGCAGGCAGTTAAGTGATCAGCGCGAACTAAAGAACCACATACGTATTCACACAGGCGAGAAACCCTACATGTGTGACCAGTGTGGCAGACAGTTCAGTCGACTGCGTTGTATGAAGGTGCACATGCAAACTCATACAGGAGAAAAACCTTACAGTTGTGAGGAATGCGGCAGGCAGTTTGCTACCATGCATGCACTAACATCTCACAAGCGGACTCACACAGGTGAGAAACCTTACAAATGTGACGTATGCAGCAGGCAATGCAGGAACACAGGTCAACTGAAGATTCACAAGCGGACCCACACAGGGGAGAAACCCTACAGGTGTGAGATGTGTGGTAAACAGTTCAGTACACATGGTACACTGAAGTGTCACATGCAAACTCACACTGACGAGAGACCCTACAGGTGTGAGGAGTGTGGTAAGCTGTTTAGGGATTTATCTGGTCTGAAGGTACACATGCGAATTCACACGGGAGAGAAACCCTACGCTTGTGAGCAGTGCGGCAGGCAGTTCAGTCAGAGGGGGAATCTAAAGACTCACATGCGGACTCACAACAAGAAACAGTCCCCAACAAAGTGTTGAAGTAGAGATATTGGAAACAGGTCATCTGCAGGGCTAGGGACAATTGAAAAACTGAAGTACGTGTATAACAACTTACTGCAAGAAAGAAGAAGATCGGTTAATAAGCAATACCAGTAGAAAGGAACCAGAGGGCCAATATTTGTAAGGCAGAGTGCAAAACCTGTCACCCTTCTGGTGTTAAGATACATCAAGTAAGACAATATCATCTGCTTGTGAATGGTGGTAGTTCACTCTAACATCAGTTGACACTTGTGCTTAGCAAGCAGTCATGGATCAGCTCAGTCAGTTGGTAAAAAGCTGACTCACATAAGAGAGTAAGCTTGAAATGTACTTGCTTATATTTTGTTGTTTTAACATTTCTTTAGTAGTATAAGGTTGTTTATATTTAGTTAGAAGTAGTCTAGAAGTATGGCTTTCGCCAGTCACTGTTAATATTATATAAGTTGGTTCTGTATCTCTTACTCTTTCTAGTTTTTATTCATCTGTTGCTGTTACGTATTGTTGTTTACAGCGAGTTGTTAAATATGCTTTAGTAACATTACACATTTATATAGAATGTATACGTATACGTAACGATCTCTAGTGACATTTTATAGTAATCACAGAACCAGCACAGATTATAGCTTTACATTTGTAAGTTGTTCAAGTTATGTACAGTAAGTTATTAATGTATGACACATACAATATGACACATATTTGTAGAATCAAATGTAACAAGTCACCGTAATACTCAAACCAGCACACATTATAACTTTTGTACCTTTGTAAGTTGTTGAAGTTGTTTGTTTTGCGCATAAAAGTTACTTGACTTATATCCATTTGTTTGCCACTTACTTTGTCCCGACAAACATTCAAACAAAAATCTCGCAGACAACTCCGCCCCACTCTTCATTGGAACTGCCAAGTCCCGGTCATTAATTTACACTGAAAACCAGACACCCCAAGAATTGTTCCACAAGACTTGGCAACCTTACAGGTGTGAGGAATAGTACTTACTTACACTGCAGAATGTACAGTGGATACCAGTGGATTACGCAGTACAACGCCGTAACACACATGGATATAAACTGTTTTAGTAGGGCCATCTCCTGTCATCGATTTTCTGCTGCAATATATTGATGAAATGTGCAAATGTTTGGCCAACGGAAAAGAAACTCAGCAGATAGAATAAAGGGACCGTTTTTAAAAAAACTAGAAGGTTTATCCAGCCGACGTTTCGGTAACTGTCTGTTACCAATTCCTCATGGCAAATCTGACGAAGGTGACTTGCCAACCTGATGAAACTATATATAGCTATTCACAGGAGAACCTCAGCAGAGTAAATACTAGTAGACTCTTTATTGTATTCAGCCAACGTTTCGGTGACCGTCTGTCATCTTCCTCAGGACAATTCTGACAGGTTCACATTGCACTGCAGTACAGGTGCACTGAATAAAAGACGTGGTTGTGTAGAAAGAGTCTCTTCACTCAGTGAGGAGAACCTTAGCAGCTGTCTTGTATTCGTACCTAGTACCTCAATTGTATCAGCCTTTTAAATTTCTAAAGCAGTATAGTATGTTTTTTGACTGAACTACTTCTTTATTTTATTTTGTTTTATTTTGTTTTATTTTATTTATTTTTTATTTTATTTTATTTTATTTTATTTTATTTTATTTTATTTTATTTTATTTTATTTTATTTTATTTTATTTTATTTTATTTTATTTTATTTTATTTTATTTTATTTTATTTTATTTTATTTTATTTTATTTTATTTTATTTTATTTTATGTTAATTCAATTGTAACAAGACCATACATTGGGCACCCAGGTAGCATGGCTGATTTCGGGTGCCAAACAATACAAAGATTAAACATACATAATATAACATACTAATACAGTAAACTAACAAGTACGACATTAAGCTAAAATCAATCAATTAACAATATAAACTTACAACAGACTTAAGTACAAAGCATAATAAAAGTATTCAATCTTCTTGTATGAGCTGTTAGTAAAATGAAAGTTTCATTTAGGACTTACACACAACCTCTCTTCGAATGAGGCACTTGATATCTAATACAGAGATTCGGATTCTTCTTCTTTCCTGGAAGCCCAATAATTGGTTCCCATGGGTGTCTGCGTGTCCATGGAGCACAAATGGCCCGAGACTCTCATTGCTAAGCCGACCATGATTGTTCCGGGTGCCGCCAGGCTTTTAACTCAATTACGTAGCGACAGTCGACACTGCCCATCCAATAAATACAGTTACGCTTGCCACGGCCAATAGAGTATGGTGTCTTGAGGTCACATCTAGTCTAATATCTCAAGCCCCACAACAGATGAACTTGATTTTCATTTCAAACTTCATTTTTAGCATGAGCAGCGCCATTCCGGATCCCGTATATGTGACCATGGACGTTAAGAAATGAGTTGCGGAGCATTAAAATGATCTCATCTCAACCTTAAACCATTTCAAACCTTATTGAATTAAGTGACCCCGTAAACATAAAGAAAAACACATACTTGCCATGTCAAATCTGTCAATATATGATAGATAGATAGATAGATAACCGCATTACTATTGCACTTCATCGTTGTGATTAAAAATGATAAACAAAATATTCTGATAGCAACTTTTGCTTGCTGAAAATCATGCTGCACATGAATATGGCTTGTCCTGAAAGGTCATTTTACCGAATCTTTTTCACTATGTCCAAGTTGAGTTGGAATGATGCTTAGACAAATGGCCATAGTGTCGTCATGGTCCGGTCAGCGTTCGCACAATATCGGGATTGAAAATGCAAATCAGGGCCACTATTGCTTTATACGCAATTGGACATAATATTGGGGACCGTACAATATTGGCAAAGCACGTCAGCGGAGTAGAAATATTGCCCGAGAGCTCATTTCTTTAGTGTGTGGGATAATCAATTAAGCATGATTGAACTGGTGGAAGGACCAGGCTAGCCGCACAGCAGTCGTGTGGGCCATGGGTAAGAAGACCATGCCATGGGGCGGAACGAATCGTGAATCTTCGACTTCAGGAAAGCATTTGGGCCTTCTTTACAATATGCTGCGTACTGTTGATTAACTAGATCTACATTTGATGCTACCAGAGGAGGCAGCATAACCAAATGGATGTTTTATCTTATTTTCCCAAACTGTGACCATTTGGATAGGTAAGTACATGTACTATGTTATCAAATGGTTCAAACTCGCATAGATGTCTGTGCTTGTGGCAGTCATTGTACATCGTTTTAGAAATAGAAACAATCATGCATATGAGATTATTTGTAAAACATTTCATATGTAGGAAAATAATGTCGTTATTTGTTATGCTATTTCTAAAATTTTATTTGAATGAAAAGGAGTGGACAACACAAGACTTAGAGTGTATATTTGCCAATGGTAAGCATTACATGTTGCGTATGACATGTACCATTGCTACCATGTACACCTTTACAGCAACACAATTTATAATGATCTATCTATCGACGTTTCAGAAGCTCTGTATTTGCTACATGTCAACATTTATTGTTTCAGTTGTAGTCTCTTTACATTCATGTCCAAACGCCTAGAAACACCATAGAACTGACAGATTGCCAATTGATCATACTAGCTCTATGACCCTTTCTTAGAACCAAAAAGACTAGATATGTCACACTTTGCTCCATATGAAACGTCTCTTTGCTGTCAGTATACTGACATGAGTGACGTTGTCTTGCTTTTCACGATGGCCGAGTTAATATTCATGTATTAGCACATACAACATAGCCGTTTTCGTCGCAATCTTAACATAGCACACAAGCGTATGCAGTTTACATTTGATAGCCTTCAATATTGTTACCACGTCCTCCCAAATACATGATTGATGAATGAATCATATTAAATAAAGTCCACCACGGACCTAATGATATTACTGATCTATTCATAGCTGCTCGGCAAAGCTATAGCTAAAGGAAAGGCTCTGCTTGCAATGACTCTTGTATGATACTCATATAGACTCAATAATGCAAGGTTTTGGGAAGTGAATTGAAGTTCTATGTCTCTTGGTATTGGACTTCATTGTAGAATGGGTACCTTCTCATTGTTGTGAGAAAAGGCCCTTTCTAGGCCTTGATTAAAAAGTTAATGATTGTTAATGGCCATTTCTAATAAAGAATGCTTTCGTCGATGAAGGTTAGACATCCAGGTAATACGGTGCGCCAAAAAGCAGTTACTCAAGCAATCGGATATGATTTTGGAAACGGTCAGATAGTTTCAGCTAGTGGATACATTGTATTCTAGCATATCCAGTTGCTTGAGTAACTGCTTTTTGGCGTAAAGAATACTTTCCTTTGTATCATTTCGTAGTTTGGATGGCCATCCAAGCACGTTTAAAAATTAATGGTTTGAGGCATCCGAATTTCCAAACACACATCAGCAATGATTGACCAAATTCAGAAAAATGACGCCTTATAATCCACCTACATAATGTAATAACTTGACTCCACAAATTTAAACAACGTTAACATAACGTATATTACTAATACATACCTCCTGTGTTTTTGCGACCTATATTGCCATTATATGCATTTATCGACCACGCACATGTCATCAACCTGATTGCTTTCGCCTCTTAGTGATTTTATGGTTGTCACTGTTGCAACGGCCAGCAATGCAGTTTGAAATGACGATATGTTAATGTTGTCCTCAAATTGTGCGGAAATTGTACAGTAGTCTTCACGTTTTTTTGCGTTTATGCAATTTAGTTGCTGTGGAATTCAGAATTAAATGTACAAATGTACATATATAATGAAGATATGAAGATATCAATTCTGGACCCTACACATTTTTTTTGTGATTTTATTATTAGCCCCTTTGTGAATTGAAAAAAAAGGTGACCGAAATGATTACATCAAGTAAACTAAAATAAAAAGAGTTAGAAGAGCGGAGTTAAGTCGATAGGTTTTTACTAAAACCAAAGACATTATGTAGAGATGTCCTTGATCAAACCAAGCAATGGTGATGAGAGGTAGATGCATATACAATTTTAGAAGTACCTGACGTTTCCTGTAAGAAAGCAAATGCTTCCTTATCTTTTGCGTCAGCTGAAGAAGGTGCCCTGTATGAAAGCAAAATGATTCCTTATCTTTGGCCGAAGAAGGTGGCCAGTTAGTTTTACTAAAGCAAGGACATTATGTAGAGATGTCCTTGACCAAACCTAGTAATGGTGACGAGAGGTAGATGCATTACAAAATTTTATGAGTACCTGACGTTTCCTGTAAGAAAGCAAAATTTTTCCTTATCTTTGGCCGAAGAAGGCGTCCTGTTAGCCCATGCCGATCTCCGAAGCTTAGCGATGGTCTGTTTGATTTAAGAAAGTGCGTAACTGTTACACAACCAGCTCACTGATGTATGAGCCATTAGGGAAATCGGCGACTGTGCACCCACGCGTGAGGCTTGGCACACCGAGACCGTCCGAGACCCATTCACGGGAATGGATTCATTTAATTTGGGAGAAAATTAAAGGGCTGGGCTGCGGGGCATTGTCTATTCGTGGAACGGGCTGCCACTGTGGTACCTTTTCTATGTGAGGATGTTTTCGTGCTTTAGAGAAGGTACAATGTTGCGTTTTGTAGGTGTGTGATGTTGCGGTATGGATCCTGCTCCCATGAGAGAGGTGGAGTTTGGCTGTCTGAGCTGTAATCTGCTGTTATCTACCTTTCCAGTGGTGAAGATCGGCATTCGAGATGACAAATGGCCTTGCTCCGGTCTCCGGCTGCATGAATCAACGTCGCCATCGTTAGGAAAGATCGTTTGAGGGGTCCGCAGAGCTTCCACAGAGGAACGGTCTGGCCGAGCAAGCATGCAGGTTGACTCAGGATGGGTGGCCGTCTGTACCGTGTACCTTGTTCACCTGCTGCCGGACAAGGTGACGAGTTTCCCCGCGGACATACGGACGTCTCCCATGCCTACAGCAGACTCAGGTCTCTTCGTGCCCAGAGGCGTGTGGATGGAAGCTAACCACAGAAAAATTCCGACAAAAGACCTGATGACAACGGTCTATGCTGAAGATATTTACTTCGAGCCAACAGACAAACCATTGGAGAACGAGACACAACAAGAAGAGAACGTGACAAATCCTTCAAGATCAAAAGAAGCCAAGGGTCAAACGTCTGAAGATACATCTAGTGGGGATTATAACGTGGGGATTGGTCGTCCGGATTTGCATATTCCGAGGCCATCTTTGCCTACGAGATTCGACACGCCCAGGGACATGAAACGGGGAAATTCCCGGTTACGGCATTCTCATAACGGTTTCACCGCTACCACCAGACCTACACAGATGACATCAGGTACAAACTCCCACGTAACTGTGCCTAGATCTGGTATCACTGAGTGGGAAAGGTCTAAGTCTTACGACGGGTCACGACAAGGCGACGGAAATGGTACACGTGGAGTAAGACTGAAGACGACGGCAACGACCAGGAGAGGCAGAGGCCGGAGTACCGGCCACGGGTCTATGATGGCCGCCTCTCGCCGCGTCGTGAGACGAGGGGACATCGTCGGGTCTGGATACTACGAGAAAGGCTTACAGGATTCCCACGTCGCTGTCGTTACTGCAGAAGAAGAAATGCCTGCTACCCAGATCCCTATCAAGGCTACAAAGAGCTCGCGTGTCCCGAACAAGGACTTCCAATGCCCCGACGATTACTGCGAGAACAACGGTATCTGCACGGTGATTAAAGGACAGCCGAGGTGCGCGTGTCTGCCCACGTTTGCCGGGGACCGCTGCCAGGAATTCGTCGGCGGCATGATCGTCAACTTCTCCGTCAACGAGCCCGTCTTCGCGTCGGTTCGGATCTGGTGGGAGATCGACATCCGCTACCCGATCTCGGGATTCCAGCTGGATTGCTACATGCAGGGGTTAGACTACGAGTTTAAATACTCCGTTCAACTGGACGCTTTCACCAGGAACTTTACGCTGGAGGGCCTTCACCCCGATGTGAACTACCGGGCGTGCGTGTCGCCCATTGCCGACGGGATGGTACGAGTGCCCGTGAACTTCGATAACTGCAAGGACTTCTCCATCGCCGAACCCTGGGAGGAGGCGGAGAAGAGAGTGGCCATCATTTCTGACTCCGCCATATGGATTCTGCTGCTGCTTGTGTTCTTGACAGTGTACGCCGCGTCCAGATACTGTCGGCAGTGGTGATTGCTATTGAATCTGCAATAAATCTGTTACGATAGAACTAGAGTTAGAATATTATCATGAAAGTTCATCTGTGCTGGTAGTTACATGTTTAAAGTTAAAACTTTTGATCCAACACCAATAATTCTCTCACCTAGAGCTTTCGACCAGTCACTCTGGTCTTCCTCAGTAGACTGACCCAGTGAAGCTTGTCACGTGGCTTCCTTGAAGTGTGACGTCGACATTGAACCGCGACGGGGGCCGACATCGTCTACCAGATACCTTTGACCCAGTGTTGACGTCACACTTCAAGGAAGCCACGTGACAAGCTTCACTGGGTCAGTCTACTGAGGAAGACCAGAGTGACTGGTCGAAAGCTCTAGGTGAGAGAATTATTGGTGTTGGATCAAATGTTTTAACTTTAAACATAGAGTTAGAATATGATTAAAAATTTCTACGCCTATGGTGTTAGATTAACAACGCTTCTAATTCGCTGCTTTTGTCATATTCCCTGCAACATGTCAGAAGTAGGTAATCATCGTGATAATCATGTCCCAAACTGCGATATTGTTTCATCAAATAAAACCTAAAAACGTTTGGCTTTGCGTACTATGTATTAGGTAGTTGGAAAATCATTTTCATAACCTTTGCACATACCTATTCGTTCACATGCATATGACTTGTTTTTTTCATGTTTCGCATATCTATTGTTATCTACAAACAGATAAAACATTTTCAACTGCGGATTTCATATTTCAAAGCACGTCGTTACTACGATGCATGTACATTGATTTCTTAGAAACGAATCGATAACTGGAACAGTACTTTAGAGATTAACAGCTGCGTTACATTTTTCAGTAGTAGAGCAAGCTACCGCTTCGGGGCCAACACCATTACGGTTTACTCCAAACTCGCATTAAAAACTTCCAGGCACTTCAATCCAGTCTTGAGAGTTTATTCGCGGTTTGAAATATTGCCTGCTACAAATCTGAGTGTTATTGATGCTTAAGTGTGGATGAAGTTCTTTCTTAAATTGATAGGTGTCGCTTCGTATAGTTCGGACCATATCGGGTGGCCAGGGCTAGCATACAGTATACAGTAGTCGACAGTATTATATATATATAAGTTGTCTACAACCCAACTTCCTGTATGTGTGTGTGTGTGTGTGTGTGTGTGTGTGTGTGTGTGTGTGTGTGTGTGTGTGTGTGTGTGTGTGTGCATGTGTCAGTGTGTGTGTGTACATGTGTGTCAGTGTGTGTGTGTGTGTGTGCGTGTGTATGTGTCAGTGTGTGCGTGCGTGTGTGTGTGTGTGTGCGCGCGCGCGTGTGTGTGTGTGTGTGTGTGCGTGCGTGTGTGTGTGCGTGTGTATATGTGCGTGCGTGTGTGTGTGTGCGTGTGTGTGTGTGTGCGCGCGCAGGCGTGTGTGTGTGTGCGTGTGTGTGTTGCAGTCATTCATAGCAAAATATTGACGAGTTTCCTTTTTCCGTATTTAGATTATATGAGCAATTTTGCTTGACTTGTCTTGATCATTCAATTTCCCCCGTCCTTTCTCGTGTCGTGTGATGACTCAATTAACAAGTAAGGATTACATGAAAGCCTGGACAGCAATTAGGACGTTGTCGTCGTTCTTACTGAATAATGCATCGATCTTTTAGACATTATGAATGAATGAATGAAAGACGTTTGTGCTCTAAGAGGTTGTGGATAAACAGGTCGTGGATAAACAGAGCAAAAGGGAACCCCTCTGATTTCTATACAATGTGCAGTCAACTACAAAGTGGCATTCATCTTCAATATTATCTAGATTACAGAATTGGCAGATCCTTTGCTGTAGAGGAGTGCGGTTGTGTCTGTACACATTTCCCCTGCTAATTTCATAGTCACAATAGGTAAGAACGTAAACAAGTCAAAGGTACAGCCGTATAACGTTTTACGTCCTTGCGTCACGTCGTTAAACCTCGGCTGTCACACAGCTGCAGGGCCCGGATCCATCACTGTGGGACCGTACCTTTAGGCCACAGCAAGTCATTTTCATGGATGACATCAGCACGCGCGCATCTGTACTTATATCTACATCGTTACTAAGAAGTGAGAAGAAGCCAAATTATCGTAATTATTAGACTATATGTCCATAGTACATAGAATTAGCGCTAGCTTGTACATTGTATATATTCACTACAAACTGTGACGTCTTTCCTGTGACCTGTATGAACCCAGTGCGTATTTGTGTACAATAAAGGTCTTCATTCATTAATTTTCTCTTGATTTTTGAAGAAAAAAAAACAAGAAATTTTGTTGCCCTCTGACAGTAATCAACATGCCGAAATGGGCAAAGATGTCTATTACCATGCCGGAACGTGGATGGTAGATACATATGAAGAGAGGAGACAAGACAAGACAAGACAAGACAAGGCTCTGATTGTATGTTTTATCCTTTACTTTGATGCAGTCATGTGTTTCATTCCTTTTATGTATGTGATGTTCTTCTGGAGTCTGCGGAGGATGTCATCCATAAAATTTACGTGCTATGGCCTTAGGCCATGTTGATTTGATTATAAGGATGACATCCGCGAACCCATGAATTTTCGGCCGTTTCCAAAAGAAAGAGTTTTCAACCATACTGTAAATCGTACAAAACAGTTGCAAAATGAGCAAATCTATACCGTAAGTTGCAAAAAAAAAAGAAAATTGGAAAACGATACCAATGTCGTAGAATGCCAAAATCAAACAAAAAAGACGAAAATGTAAAGAAATGAATTTGAAGAGTAGATTATTCGCCATACCATACTCTGTGTCATTTGTTCAACCTTTATGATCACATAGATTTCATAATGCAAGCATCGTTTTTTTATGCCAAACTTTTTTTATTCGCACGCTCGCATCGGTTTTGGGGTTCCCAGAGGATGTCATCCATATAATTAAATCAACATGGCCTTACGTAAACCTGCCCGTTCCGGTTCTCCACCCCTCGCGATGACTGATGTCACGGTCCGCTGTGTTTTACCAGCAGATGAGAGCCCGGGTCAAATGTCAAACCGAACGTCATTGGTCGTTGCATCCAAGGCCAACGACCAATCGCGTGTAAAGGCAATGACATCATCCGCCGGCGGTGGCCTTTTGTTTCCGGTGAATGCCTGAATGAAAACCGTTAGAATTCAAAATCGTACACACGTGATGCAGAACATATGATCTCACGTCACGGTACATTGAGGAGATGTTGCGGAAACATAAAGGCTACAAATTTCCATGTCGTGTTCATACATACATGCAGAAACAAGATAGGGCACGGCGTTTTTAAGCTGTTGGACATGGTACATCATGCATTTCTTCAAAAGAACCAAACCATGTAGATGCAGAGTTGCCCTTTTTCTGCTCTCTAGTCTAAATGCCACATCCCCTGTCTCTAGAATTTTGCAATTGTAAGCCAACATTTGTTGCTTGGTGATATGGATATTGTATCACCATTTCCATTTAATGTATCTTTTTTTTCAAAACCTATCTCTACTAGTCACGTATTCAGCACAGACATCAATTTCTTAACAATATTTGGTATTTGGTAATGCCGCATCCCCTCTCTCTAGAATGCAATTGCAATTGTAAGCCAACATTTGTTGCTTGATGATATGGATATTCTATCCCCATTTCCATTTAATATATCCAACATCTTTTTTTCAAAACCTATCTCAACTAGTCACGTATTCAGCACAAATATCAATTTCTTAACAATATTTGGTATTTGGTAATGCCACATCCCCTCTCTCTAGAATTTTGCAATTGTAAGTCAACATTTGTTGCTTGATGATATGGATATTCTATCCCCATTTCCATTTAATATATCCAACATCTTTTTTTCAAAACCTATCTCAACTAGTCACGTATTCAGCACAAACATCAATTTCTTAACAATATTTGGTAATGAGTGTTGGGAATAATAATTGATTTTTGTAACGATATTCCGCCCCACGTATCTTCGGCTTTTATAAATGACTCAGGGCGATGCATATGTTTTTCCACGACATTGAATGACTGGATCATAACGATCGCATCGTCCCCTGCCATGTGAAGATCATTTCAATACTGGGAGTCGGACCCTATAGACGATATCCATCAGTCACCACTTGGGATTCTGTCTTCGATTTTACGATAAGACAGTGGAAGGGCCAAGCCAGAACCGGGTCACGTAAAGATCAGTAAACGGTGTTTGTTTCCGAATAACCTCCGCCGAGACCGAGGATAATCTACCAGGTAAGGTTCATTGTGTTTTTGTTCCTAAGCCTGTTTCACTGCGGTATTGATATCTGATATGACGTTACTGTATCATATCATAGTTAGCACGTTTTCTTGTCTCTAGCGTCCCTCCTTTGGCCCCATCGTTTAACAAACGTTAACATTTTCCCTTGCTTAGTAAGGTGGAAATTTGTGTTGCAAGCGACAGGTACAGCCTTTTAGAAACGTATTATTGATTTTTTAAAAACCTCTTTGGGGGAACTACTAGTATGTAAATCTGTTTTTAAGAACAGATAGATGTTACTGGGGGCCTGTGAGGCGATTGGGGGTTAGTAGATGGTGAGGAAGAAGAGGGAGAGGGTTGGAGTGTGTTTCTGCGGTAACATATAAGGGGCAGCATTCACAGTATGGTAAGTTCAGTATATTTGTCATCTCAGCATACCTTTGAATCCATAACAACATTTATATTATAATTGTAAAAGTTGCAACTCTGTCAGTGACATGTTATGGTGATTTTCATCGATTGTCTGATTTAATATCAATAGACCATGTCCTGAATGACAAGACAAGATGTTGACTACATGTACCGCTAATTTCATACATCCAGGCGTGCATAGATACTATCGTCTCTGTTGCTCTTTGAACGGACTCGGAATTTCCAACCCGATATAAAAATTCGTGACTTGAATACTCTCTTGTAAACATCTTGTAATGACATAAATGACTTGGAAATTACGTCTTATCTTTCGCCTCGTCTTAAGTGATAAGGATGAGTTGATCTTCTTACATGTTCTTTACTTAAGAAGCTCGTGTACGGTTACGATAATGTTTGTCATGGTAAATTATAAGCACACACACGCACAGAATAGCTGATTCCGGTTCA